GATTTCTTTTTCATTCTTAACTAAATTAGCAGTTTCAGGGTCAGCAACAGTTAAATTAACCGGATTTGGCAGGGAAAAATTGGACGGGCTGGCTAAATTGCCACAGTTTGGACCGCAGTTTGGCTTTAAAAAATTGTTTTCTGCTGAGGGGGCAATTTCTCACCCAGTAGAGCAAAAGCAGAAGCGACTTGACGAATTAAGCAAACCAGGATTAGTAAAATTAAGATTATTGGCTGGCTCAAAAGCATTAGAAAAAGGAACGGGGGCGGAATTAGTAGAAAGATTATTAATATTAATCTCACCTTTCGGATTAGTCGCTGAATACTTTCCAATTCCATATCCTATTCCGCCTGCCGCCACGTATTTCTGTCAATTTCTTTTCAAATGAGCGAGGGGGTTGGGGATTTGATTTAGATAATTAATTAAGTTAGTGTGTTGAGGGCTAATTGGTAGAGCAGCGGGGGTTGGCTCGGTGGCGAGATTTTGTTCCGGAAGAACTTTTTCGCTGGCTGGGGAGGAAGCAGTTTGAGTTTCTTTTTCTATTTTTTGATTGATTACCTCCAAATGCTCGTCTACTCCTTGGGGTTCAACTGTTTTTTGCTCAGATTCTTTTTTCGCTTCGGCTAATTCTGCTTTGGTTTGGTCTAACTCCTGCTGCGTTCTTTTTAAATCATCTAAAATTTCCTCTTGGTTCGCCTTGGCTTCAGCCTGGTTTTTTTCTAGTTCAGTTTTTCAATGATCGAGTTCTGCTTCGAATTCTTTTAACAACTTAAAAGTCTCAGTTTCATTATTAGCAGAATTTTTCAATTGATTCGCTAATTTAGCTAGTTCAGTTTTTAAATTATGAATCTCGGCCTTCAATAATAAATTTTCATTTTGGGTCTCATTATGTTTAATTTCTTCTTCTTGTTTCTTTTTTTTTGCCTCCTCATGAAGGGAATTTAAATTTTTATTGGTTTTAGTGAGATTTTCATAACTTTCTTTATATCGTTTTAATTCAGTTTGTAAAACTCTAAGGTCACCTGAATTGGTTTGAGCTTCTGCTTCATTTTTTGTGGAGTCCGGACTTCTTTTTCTTTCTAACTGGGCAATCTGGGCTTGTAAATCTTTAATTCTTTGGTCTTTTTTTCCTAATTCGGTCGTTAATTGTTCCTGGGAGACATCGTTTTCTTCTCGTAAGTTAACTATCTGTCCTTTTAAGTCATTTGTCTCGGTTGCTTGCGAGTTTATTAGATTTTTTCCTTCGGTCAGTTGAGCTTTTACTTGGCTATTTTCTGTTGCTAAGGCATCATGGGCTTGACGAATTGTTTTTAATTTTTCTTTATTCTCTTCAGCAAGGTTGTAATATTTAACAATATCAGTCACCAAATCCATTTCTTTTATATGACTAGCTAGTAGTTTTAAATTTAACTCCTCGTTTTCTTCTTTTTTTAATTCGTATTTTTTGTGCTGAACGAACCCAAGATTTCTGCCAACTATTTTTCTGAAAGAAGTTTTAGATTGGCCAGTTTTTTCCTCTTCCGTTAAAATTGTTTCCTCCACGGTCGAAGTTGTTTTGATATTTTCGTCTGCTACAATAAATTCAATTCTATCTTCTTCATCGATCCATTCATCGTTCTCGTAAAGCGTAGAAGTGGTTGTTTCAGAATGACCAAAAAAATGTTGGCTGCTGCTCGGGGTAGGGGTATTACTTCAATCTAGCGTTTCAACTCTGGTAATGGATGGCTCAACTTCAATTTTTAGGTTCAATTGATTCAATTTTGCTCTCTCTCTCTCTCTCTCTCTCTCTGTTATCAGTTTTCTTTATTATCTTAGCACTATTGTTATCTGCTTTTAGTTTCTTGCCAGCAATGGCGGAATCATCTATTACTGAATCAGCGAGATCTTTACCTTTATCTTTGTCTTTTTTTTGGAATTTATTTTTTAATTTTTCAGGAATTTCAATTTTAAATTTCATATAGTTATTAATTTTAAACGAGTTGTTAATTTATACTTATTCAGATGGATAAACAGTTATCACCCCAATAATTTCGGGATTGTCATTATCCAAAAGAAAAATTATTAGATAAACTAAACCATTTCTTTTATCTATCGCTTTATTATAACCATAATATTTTCAAGCAGACCATTCCCTATTTACTCCCTCAAATCAAATCTCTTTCTCATTTATCTTCAGTTAAACCATTTTCCCGAGCATAACGAGAGATGCTTTGGCAAAGTTCATATTTGATTTTTTCCTCCGTGGTAGCATTAGGTAATAAACCCTGATTTATGCGACGATAGCCCGGTTGGGTCATTCTTTTAATTACTTTTTGCATTTCTTTTTCGGGGGGAAAAGCAAATTCTTTTTTATTATTTAGTTCTTTTTTTTTCTTTTTTTAGCACTTCCCTGTTATATTTAAGTTTTACAACTGACTAAAATTTTCCTTACAACTCAAACTAAACTCATTCAAAGACCAGCCGTAAAACCCAATCCCATAAAGAATAATTTCAACCAAGTCCTCGTGAGTGGGGGGGAAGTTAGCCAAAAGGATTCCGCCACTCATAATAAAACTTACTTTTAATTTTCTTTTTTCTCTCTTATTCGTAATTAAATTTTCTTCTCTTTCCTACAAAATAACCAACTATAACTGCTAAACTAATCGCTGCCACCCCGCCAATTACCCAAGGAAGTTTAGAATTGTTGAGTTGTGGTTCGTTTTTAATTGGGTTGTTTTGCAAAATGGCTTGTAATTGATAAGCCTGTTGCTGTTGAGAACTATCTCCACTTTTAACTAATTTTTGAGCATAATCCAATAAATCCATTAAGACAGTTCCTTTAAAAGAATTAACTCTAATCTTTTTATCTTTTATCCCCTTTACCAGTTTTGCAAATTGCTCGCTAGTTAAATTATCCAAGTTTTTCGCGGATAAGGGATTATTTTCCAGATTTATTTTCTCTAAATTAGAAAAATTAGTAAATAATTCGGCAAAATCTATCTCTTTTAACTGATTACCGAACAAATTGAGAGATTTTAATTTATCTTTATTGGGTAAAGTATCTAAAAAGTTTAAGTTTTCAAATTTGTTATTCGAAGCATTTATTCCCCTTAAATTAGAAAATTCTTTTAAATCGGTAATTTCTCCGGTTAATTTAACTTCTTTTTGGCTACAATTAGCACAGCATAATTTACCTTGTAGTCGTTGATTACAATTCCGACAATTATAGTGTTCGGCTTTTTGGAGTGAACCATTATTTAAATCAAGGTAAAAGGTGGTTGATTTGTTAATTAAGCCGTTGATGTATTCTTGGATGTTGCGTGATGGCATAATATATTATAATTTTAAGAGATAAGTAAGTTATTGACCTAAAATGACCTATATGACCGAAAAAACGGAATTAGGAAAATCAGAATATTCACTAAATACTAAACAAGGCGGGGAGGCATTAGAACTTTTAACTTCTCTAAAAGAAAATAGTGTTAGTTTAGTTTTTTTAGACCCCCAATATGAGCCAGTGCGGAATGTTTTATCAGTTGATTATCCCTTATATTCCCAAAGTGATTATCAAATTTTAAGGATATTAGAGCAAGTGGAACGGGTATTGAAGCCTAGTTCTTTTTGTCTTTTATGAGTAAATAAAACTCTACTCGGCAATGACCGTATTCCTTTATGGCTTTTAAAAACTCCCTCTTTAAAAATTGTTGATTTCTTGGTCTGGCACAAGAAAAATACTCTTGGACTTGGTAATTGATTAAGAAGTAACGCGGAATTCTGTTTTTTAATTCAGAAATCTCCCCAAACTGGTAAAGTATTTAAAAATCGTTCTTTTGGGAATGTTTGAGAGGAAGCAGTTTTAGCACCTAGTAAACGGAAGCATCCGCATCAGAAACCAAGAGAACTAATAAAGGCTTTAATTGAGGCGACTACTAATGAAAAAGATTTAATAATTGACCCTTGTGCGGGTTCTTTTGTAGTTTTGGAAGTTTGCCAAGAACTAAAAGAATTTCACCAAAAAAATAAATCATATGCCAACCCTTAATTTAACCAATATCACTATCAAAGAAAAACAAGACAAAAATCTTAATCCTTATTATCTAATTGTGGATAATGACACGGATAATGCTTATTTTTGCTTTTCAGGAGCAGTAAAAGATGGCTGACAAGATTTAATTACTGACTATCAAAATATCAAAGAAGTAGAATTAGAATATGAAACTAATGAACGAGGTAATAATAAAGTAGTTAGTTTATATGCCATTAAGGAGGGAGAGATTATTGCTTAACCTTAACACTAAAAATAGTTATTAATATGGAGCAGTTAAAAGAAATACCAAAAAAAGAGTTCTTACGAGAACTAAAAGAACGAGTAGAAAAGAAAAAAATCAGTGAGGAGGAAATATTTAGCACTTTAAAAACTCCTGCTAAACCAGAAACAATTACCGAATATAAAAAAGTTGACTACTCTAAACTAACCAAAGAGGACTGAAAAAAGGCTTGCGAAACCTTGGAAAGTAATAAAAATTACCAAGCAGAAATAAAATTGTGAGAAAGCATTGATGACAAGTAAAATAGTCAGCCGAAAGGAAGTTTACTGGGTAGATTTAGGCAAAACAGTTGGCACGGAAATTAGAAAAATTAGACCTTGTATCATCATTAGTAATAATTGGCTGAATACCTTTAATAGCCGAATAATTATTGTTCCAATGACTACTAAACCAGTTCCATTCGTTCCTTTTCATTTGAAAATCAGTTTTGCGGGCAAGAATTCTACTATTTTACCCGAGCAAATTCGTTCTATCAGTAAAAAAAGAATAAAGTGAGAATGGGGAAAGTTAGGAGAAATTTCACCCGAGATAATGAAAGAGGTTAGCAAATTGCTTCATGTTATTTGTGAATTAGAGGGATAATTTCGGCTTATTCTTTATTTTCGTGGCTAACTTGTTTTTAGCAACTTTAAAAGCCCTAAAATTCCCCCTGAAAAGAAAAATTTTATTAATTATTCTTAAAGAATAAAAAAAGGTATAAATAAGTTGCTGGAGCCTTGGTTTTTTCTAAAAAATGAGGTTGAAGTCCACAAAACTTTGTATAATAAAATTAAATTATAGAATACTTGTCATAATAATCAAGTTTTCTATATAAAATAAACTAATTTAATAGAAGTGTTTGTAGCCCGTGTAAAACGAGTTAAGGCAGAAAGCGTTTAATCATAACGTTCAATCGTTTGGACTATTAAATTAGCAAAAAATATAAAAAAAACGAGAGTTAAATGATTAGTTGCCGAACTTATTCGGTAGAACCATATTTAGATTAATTAACTATTTATGGTTCGCTACTAATTATTTAGTTTTTGTTATTTAATAAGTAATAGAAATTAAATGTATGGTAAACCAACTATATCTCAAATATCAAATATTTCGGTGCCATTAAGGCACGAAGAAGAATAGAGGAAAATAAAGAACAAAAAATAAGAAGTAGGGTTATTATTTCCCTAAAAAATAACTTCTCCCTTTCGCACTAGCCAAGACTTTTACTAAAAAAAGCAAGAGCCTAGACCAGCGGCTTTCCCAGAAGTATAAAAGAGGGTAAAGAATACTCTCCTAAGTTTTATATTGAATTTGAATTATTACTTATCGGAGTATTAAAAAACAGAGGCTAAACTGTTTAAAAAATTAGCAAAATTAAATAGGATAAATAAAAATATATAATAAATATGCTTGTAAGTAGAACTACAAACCGAAAGGTATACAGGATTGTAAATGTTACTGATAATTATAATTCTTTAAGAGTTCATTTAGATGACTATGTAAGTTATAGTGATGGAAGTTATAAACACATAGATATTGCTGGCTACTATAGATATAATAATTACTATTATCAGGGTAGATATGTGGAAATTGACAATAGTAAAACTCGTTATGAAGGGAGTGGTCATGAATTTAATGATAGTAGTGTGGTAAAGATTACAGATATTAATGCTGCTCTTATATACCAAGCAAGAGAAGAATTTGCTAATATGCAAAATCAAAATACCAATTTGCAGAACCAAAATACTAACTTACAAAACTTAATAACTCTTGGCAAAAACGAGTTGGAGGAAAGAAATAGACAAATAACAACAAAAGATGAACAGATAGGTAAACTTACTGATCAAATAAAAGAAGATAGAGTAGAATATAAATTAAGTAAAGAAAAATATGAGGAGTTGAGGGATTTATTTACTACTTTGCAAATCCAAAATAATGATAAAGATCAGGAAATAGAAAAAAAAGAAGGTGAAGTTAGGGAACTTAAAGAAGAAAGGGAAAATTCGAAAGAAAAAACTCTTGACCATGAGATTAAAAAAAAAGATACAAAATTAGAAGAGCGAATTAAGAAATTAGGGGTTGACCGAAAAAAAATTCGCGAACTGGGTAGATTATACCGGCAGTTAGTTCGAATTAGGGAAGATAATTACAACCAGGACAAAATAGATGAGATTAATGATAAAATAATCGAAATTAAAGATGAAATCCTAGATGAAGGAAAAATTAGCACGGATGATGTTCAAAAACTTTTTGAGAAGTGTGAAGAGCTTGCTAAATTGAAAATAGAGCATGAAAAGGTATTGAGGAAACAAAATCAATATCGAAACCAAATTGAAATTCCTCCTCGTAAATAGAGGGCGATTACTTTAAAAATAATTCAAAAATTAAAAATATAACAAAGTTATGGTAAATGCAAGAATGTGAATGGATGTTAATTATCCAAGAAGAAATAGAAAAAATATCAAAAAGTTAGATGTAAGTAAAAAGAACTTAGAAAATTGCTTAGATTTAAGTGATTTTATTAATTTAGAAGAGTTGTATTGTCAAGAAAATAAATTAACTAGTTTAGTTATAAATGATGGTTGTTCTTTGTCAACTATTGATGCTTGTGAAAACAAGTTGGAGAAATTAGATTTTCTTAATAAAATAAAAAAACCAGAAAGTTTAAAGCGATTGACTATTTCTAATAACAATTTTTCTCCTAGCGGTTTAGATATATTCGCTCGTTTTGTTAATTTAGAAAATTTATCAATAGGAACTTGAAATTACAAGACAATGGAAGAGAAAAAGTATAATCGCTTTACTGGTTCCTTAAAACCTCTTAAAAGTTTGACTAAACTAAAAAGTTTGTATATCGAAGAAACTGATATAGATGGTGGTTTAGAGTATTTGTCAGATACAGTAGAAACTATTTTATGCTCTTGTGAGAGAGGAGATGCAAAAGTTAAATCTATTGATGATGAGCTTTCTCCTTTTAAAGATAAATTGAAAAGTTGAAGGATAGTTCAGAGCCTTAATCGGGAAAAACAAGAATTACAGCAAGATATCTTTTCTCTCCAAGGAAAGTTTCGTTTAGATGGCAAGGAAGTCGAAAGACTTAACAAAAGAAACAAAGAATTAGAAGAAGAAAACTCGATTCTTTACAAAAAATTGGAAAAACTACAACTTGAAGGAGCAAAAATAGATGAAAAAGTTCGAATTAAGAAAAATGAATTGGAAAGGATAAAATCCAAATTAGAAACAAAGTTAGAAAACGAGTTTCAAGCCTCTTTTTTAGAGAATTTATTAATTTTTCAGGAGCAGATTATTCGTTTAGAAGGAGGTAATCAGCAAATTATAAATTTAAGCCAAAAGCAGTTTGATAAAGTAAAGGAAAAATTAACCGAAAAGTTGAGTGAAGAAGAAATAAATGAAGTTTGTCAAGTTCAGGGTGAGTTAATAAGATTAGAAATAGAGTTAGAAAAAGAAAAAGAGGAAATTTTAGAAGCAAAAACAGAAATACCCTTAGATAAATAAAATTATGTCAACAAATTACTACCAAATCTTAGGAATTAATCCAGGGGCTACTCAAGAAGAAATTAGAAAAGCCTATTTAGAAAAATCTAAACAATACCATCCTGATAGACCCGGAGGAAGCAAAGAAAAGTTTCAAGAGATTAATGAAGCTTATGAAAAATTGTTACCCTGAAACTCTTCCTCTAAAAAAAAACTTGATTTAACTGAACTTGAAATATTTAATAGAAATTTTCAAAGAGAAATTGATGAAGTAAAAGGCAAGTCTAGTGCTTTTGGTGAAGAGTGGATAGACAAAAACAATAAAAGTCATACGATTTGGATGGAAAGTGCAATTTTACTAGTAGAATTTCGACTTTCTCTTTATGGAATGACTAATCAGGATGTTCTTGAGTTTGACCGTATTGCCTGAGGTTTTTTTAGTGATTGGAAAGACTTAATAAAAAGTTGTCGAACTTTTCAGGAAGTAAAAAACCAACTGAACTACATAAATAAAAAAATTGATGAAGCAAAGAAAGAAAAAGATAAAAAAAGTTCTCATCAAACTTCTTCACCTAGCGGTAATTCAACAACTAATGAGAATGAGGAAGGTAAGGAAAAAGAGGTGGAAGAGGTAATTAAAGGCAAGTTGATTGACCAAAATCAGAATAGTGAAACTACCGATAAAGATCAACAAACTTCTTCCACTAACCAACCCTCAAATGAGAAAACTTCTGAAAAAACTACTACTGAAGATAATATTCAAGCCGAACAAACCAAAAAAAATAATGAATATAGCGAAAATCTAAACCAGGCTGAAAAGCCCGGTGCCACTTTGGAAGAAAAAGCCGAAGCCATTAAAAAATCCGGTTTAATGGTCGGAGAAGAAACTCCTGAACAACAGTCCCGCCGAGAAAAGTTAGAAGAGGAATTAGTTGAAAAAGACCCTACTTTAGCTAATAAAGCACTTTTAGATAGAATAGAAAATAATCTTAAAAATAATAACCTTTCTCTAACCGAATTGCCTTCGGAAATCCAAAACGATTATCAAAAAATCAAAGAAAATAAAGAAAATAAAGAAAATAAAGAAAATAAAGAAAATAAAGAAATCGCAACTAGAATAAATGAAAGCATTGGTAAACTTGGAGCCGAAAAACTAATAAAGAGTTTAAAAAAAGAAGTAGAAAATTTGGCTAATGCTAGTCAGAAAAAGATTAAAGAATTAAAAGAAAAATTAAATAAAATTATTCACAGTAAGAATAAATATGACCAAGAATATAAACAACAAGCCCAATCTTTACTGGCTCAGTTAGAAAGCAAACAAGTTCAAAACCCATCAGACAGTAAGTTCCCAACTGGCTGAGTGGTTGGAGGAGGAATATTATTGGTGGTGGGATTAGTAGGAATGTTAGTTGTTGTAAGAAAGAGAAAAAATAAAATTAAAATAAAAAAATAACCTTATGTGGTACGACGGACTTGAAGAATATTATGACACTTGTATGGTGGAAGGATGTAATGCTGATATAAAAGAAAGGAATTATCGTTATCGAGGGTGGGGATTTTTTTGTTCTTACCATGAAGACAATCATCATAGTTGCCAAGAAGATGGTTGTCGCACAATAATTTCTTACGGAAGCTATTGTTCTCAACATGATAGTGTTTGCGGTCATTGCGGGAAAAGAACAAGATGAAATTATTGCGATAGTCATTCAGGGAAATGCGATCATTGTTCACGAATAATTTCCTATCAAGAAACCTACTGTTCTTCTCATAAACAAAGTTGCTATTATGGCAGTTATCGTTGCCAGAAAAGAGTAAGTTCTTATGGGGAATATTGTGAGAACCATCTAAATTGCTGTAAGTTTGAAAGTTGCGGTGAAAGAATTCCACGGTATAACAGTAATGGAGACTTTTGTTATAACCATCGATTGGAAGGACAAGCCAAAATTTACCAAGCAAGATGAGAAAGTGAAAGAAGCCGAGCCAATGGTTTACAAAGTCAGTTAAATACTGCTAATAACCAACTGACCGCGAAACGACAAGAAGTTATTTGGCTACAAGAGCAGTTAAAAATACTTATTGGCGAAGAAGAGTATCAGGCTCAAATAGAAGTTAATTATCCACCTAATTATAAAAAAAATTAAACTAATATGGTAAAAGTTCAAGAATGATTAGAACAAAATTATCCTACTAAATCTGAAAAAGAGATTGAAGGAACTGGAAAATTATTGGAAGGAGAGTTAATTTTAACTAATTTTCCTAATTTAAGTAAGGTTATTTTGACTAATAATAAGATAACTAAACTAGTTTTTATTAATTGCCCTAATGTAAAAGAGGTTAATGTTTGCAATAATAAAATTACAGAATTGGAGATTAGCAGTTTAGAACATTTGGAATATTTAAATTGCGGTAATAATGAGTTAAATGAACTCGAGGTTAGTAAAAATGTGTGATTAAAGGTTTTTCTCTATTTTAATAATCCGTTGGAAAGAGTGCTGGGGGTGGAGAAATTAGTTAAACTCAAATGGGTTAATGGTAATAATTTTGCTAGGCAAATAAATGAAGTTTATGAAAATAAAATAGAAGGACTAAAAAATTTCATTAGTTATTTGCAAATAATGGTCAATGATAAGAACCATGAGTTAGAGAAAAAAGAAAGAAAGGTTAGAGAATTAAAGGAGTTATTAGGTAAAACAAAAGAGGAAATTATTGATTATAGGTTAAAAGCCAAAGAGGGGAAATTAGAATTTCTTATCCAAAAATTGGAAGTCAATCGAGCAGAGATTAGAGAATTGCAAAAATTATATCAGCAATTAATTCGGGCAAGGATAAATGATAATCAAGATGAGATTGATACTGCTGACGATAAAATTGAAACTATTAAAGATAATTTGATAGATGGAGGAATTGATGTAGTTGATGCTCAAAAACTCTGCCACAAATGTGAAAGTATTGCAAAGTTAAGAGCGGAGCAAGATAAGTTATATAAAGAAAGGTTTGAGGCAAAGCAAGAAGTTGTATTGTATGATAAAAAAGGGAGTTCTCCAAACTCCCCCTAATAATTAGGTTGGGGGATTTAATTATTAGAAAGAAACAACCAAAGAAAGTTTGGTGTCTCACCAGTTCGCCACCAAAGAAAATTTTCTCTTTCTACCAATTCAGCCAAAGGGAAATCTAAAAAAGCCTGAAAGCAAAGCACACCCAAA